GCCCCGCCCGGGGCTCCCCCCCGCCGCCGGCAGCCGGCCCGGCCCCGGGCCCTACGCAGCTCTGCCCAGCCCCGGCCCTGGGCACCTCCAGCCTCAGCCCAGCTCAGCTGCAGGCACCTCCAGCCCTGCCTGGCCCCGGGCACCCCACAGCTCTGCCCAGCCCCTGCATGCGGCTCACACAGCCCTGCCTGGCCTCAGCTCCGGCCCTGGCCCTGGCCCTGGCCCCTCCAGCCCCTGCCCAGCCCTGGCTCCAGCCACCCATGCCCAGTCCCAGGCACCCTGCAGCTTTACCCAGCCCCTGGATGAGGCCCTCGCAGCCTGGCCTGGTCCCAGCCCCGAGCACCAGCCGTGGCCCCAGGCCTCCTCAGCTCTGGCCCCAGCCTCCCCTGCCCGCTCGCCCCCTGCACGGGCTCAGGCACAGCTCAGCTCTGCCCAGCCCCTGGATGAGCCCCATGCAGCCCTGCCCAGCCTGGCCCTGAGCACCTTGCACCCTCCACCCACCCCTGGGTACCCTGCATCCCATGCCTAGCTCCTGCTCCAGGCACCTCCATCCCCTGCTCAGCCTTGGCCCTGGCCTCCCCTGCCCAGCCCTCAGCACCTTGCACCCTCTGCCCGGCAATGGCAACAGCTTCTCCAGCCCAACCGTGGCCCCAGGCACCTTGCACCCTGGCACTTTGCACCCTGCCTGGCCTCAGCCTGACCCCTGCCCAGCCCCGCTCCCAGGCACCCCTGGCCTGGTCTGGCCTGGGCCTCCCATGTGCTCACCAGCCCCCATCCTGCCACCTGCGAGAGAACATCCCGCTGCCCCCAGCCCCAGCCCCAGCAGGGTCCCTGCTAAGGCCATGCCCAGGACAGCCCCCATCTTATGCCCACCGCCCCCCAGGGGCGCCTTCTCAGAGGTGGTGCTGGCAGAGGAGCGGACGACCCGCAAGCTGGTGGCCATCAAGTGCATCACCAAGAAGGCACTGGAGGGCAAGGAGACCAGCATCGAGAACGAGATCGACGTCCTGCACAAGTAGGCACTGCCCGCCCCACCCTGCCCTGGGTCCTCGCAGCCCCTCTGCACATGGCCCGGGGGCTGCAGGATGCCGGGGCTCGAGCACCTCACCCCACCTGCCCTGTCCCAGGTGCAGGGCGCAGCAGGGGCCGCAGCATCCTAGTGCCATGCTGCCGGAGCCCAGCCCCATGCCCTGCCTGATGCTGGCAGCCCACCCCCCACGTGCCCCATCCCAGGGGGTGCTGGTTTCCCCCAAGGCCAGCCCCGGGCCTGGTGTGCAGCTGCTGGGCCGGGGGCATGGGGTAGGGACAGCAGCGGGGCCCTTCACCTCGCATCTGCCCCGCAGGATCCAGCACCCCAACATCGTTGCTCTGGATGACATCTATGAGAGCGGCAGCCATCTCTACCTCATCATGCAGCTGTGAGTCCAGGCGCTGCGGGGCAGGGGCCTCGTGTGGATGCCCCATCCAGGGGCAGGCCGTGGTGCCCTGTCCCCAGCTGACCTCTCTGCCGCTGCACAGGGTGTCGGGCGGGGAGCTGTTTGACCGCATAGTGGAGAAGGGCTTCTACACAGAGCGCGACGCCAGCCAGCTCATCCGGCAGATCCTGGACGCCGTCAAGTACCTGCATGACATGGGCATCGTGCACCGCGACCTCAAGGTGAGCTGGCACTGCCCTCGGGGGCTCTACCCCGGCTCCCTGTCCTGCCCCCGCTCCACCGTGCCCCCGCCCCATTGCCCGGCACAGCCCGAGCTGCAGGGCCTGGGCTGGCTCCCTGGCGGAGGCAGCTGCAGAGCAAGGCAGGGGAATGTGCAGGTGAAAGGCCAGCTGTGGCAGACTGGGCAGCTGTGCACGGTGTGCATGGGTCCAGGTGCGTGAGGGGCAGGGGTCATGCCTGGCTGCATGTGCAGGGGCATGGGGGTGCCGGTTCGGGATTGCACGCATGTGTGATGCCCAGGGTCACTGAGCAAGGCTGCCCAGGCCAGCTGCGCCCATGGGAGCCAGATCCCTGGGTGCCCGCTCTGACCCCCCTTCCCCCCGCCCCCCGTGGC